GGAAAACAATCATTCCGGTTTATAACCTGATCTGTTTTTCATGCCCTCTTTGAGCTCTCCACCTGCACCACACGTTAAAGGCACACGTTTAGAAGTAGCACCGGCTCTTCCTGCTCAGAATACACTGGTTACCCCATACTGGGCTGTACTGGGACCCAATGGGATCCAATGGGTTACTCTCGGTCGGGTCCAGCAGCCTATAGACCGACCCGGGTCCAAAGAATGTGACGTTTCCTTGTTTGAGCTGATCGTGAGAAAAACGTTACATGCAGCTCGTTTTAAGGTCACGCAGGCCTGCAAGTTGTTATTGTATCTATTTTATAATGAGTTAAGGCCCAAAACATTTTAATGATAATAATGAAAAGACATTTGATGATTATTTGTCTGATTAATTCACTCCATAATAATAATAATAATAATCCCCTGAGAAGCAGATTTACGATGTAAGATGAGGAAAACATCCAATTTTCAATATTGTCTTCTTTAAAAATCTGACCTGTTACCTTCTTGTTGTGCCTACTTTCAAGTATTTGTAGGTAAATATAAAGGTAGATTATTTATTTATTAAAAATAAAATAAAATTATGTTTAATTACACCCGTGTTATGAAGTGTTTTTCTTTTAATTTCTTTGCTTTTACTGTGTTTTTACTTGCTTTTCTTAAGTTGTTGTGCTTTTGACCTCTCAGGGCCACCGTAGAAATCTTCTTGCTTACGTCATCTCGTGGTAATTATATCCGAGTTGAAATGCTCGTTGGCCAGTTAGTTACTCTAACTGGGACTGTTGGGCCGTCCCAGTTTCTCGTGTGCAGCCTGAACTCCTCGCTGCCGTGTGAACAGGTGAGGATTTTCTTAAACTTCCGTTTTTGTTCTGCCGCGTCTGCCGCCTCACCTTGTCTCGCTCCTTCTCCTTCAGCTTGTCCATGGACCTCTTCAGTCCCTCGTCCAGCAGGTCCATCAGCCTCACCGTGTCTCCAGAACGAGTCTTAAACTTCTTCCTGTGGAGGAAACGGCAGAAACAGCGGCTCAGTGCGAGGACGCCGGCTAACAAACCACCTGCAGGGGAACCAGTAATGGAGTTGCTGCAGTTTCACATCCCCAACCTGAACCAGCAGAGGTTCCACTTCCTGTCTCCAATAATTATCATGACAGCAAACTATTAGATTACTTCTGCTCGCCTCGGGGCGATACATTTTGTACAATCAAGCAAATCAGCTAAGCATTACAAGCCGAGCATGAGCCAAAAATTTAATAACCCCCGCCTCCCCTCCCTCCTCTGTTTACTCGCAGCTATAACGGCTCCCCCCGTGGCTGCGTTAAGCTCTTATTGTCTGGATGAGCGATTATGAGAACAGCGTGATAAATTTCTAATGGAGTCTGCCGTAGTGCAGACATAGTGGGGCCAATTTACGCCCCCTCAGGTTACCGCGGGGCATTTAGCGGCACTTAGTTATGGCCTCCGCGAAGCGTAACGTCAGCCCGCCGCCTGAACCCGGCGCTTCTTCTCAGGTCGACTGATTAGGAATAAACAACAACGTGACAGATAAGCGGTCAAATCACAAATCTGCTCACCAATCAGAGCGCAGCGATCGCTCACACGACGACAAGATGAAACCCAACGCTCGGAGACGAGGTGCTCAAACTGCACGACAAAAAAACGGGAACGCGGCGGGAAAAATATATCTGAGGTGTTAAAGTTTAGGAACGTGATGACTTGGAATCTACAAATGGATAAAAGAAGAAGAAGAAACAAGAAAAGCAGGAGGAGGAGGAAGAAAACGGAGGTTTGATATAAGCAGCGAGAGGAGAAAAGAACAGAAGGACATGAAGACAGCGGAGGAAGAGTGAAATGAAAATGTTGAAGAACAAAAAGAAGAAGAAGAAGCTCCAGAAAAGGGAAAAAATCAAAGAAACAGTTAAAGCAGCGGCAGAAGAAAGAAAACGAGGAAATAAGTGGAAGAGGAGGAGGAAAATGGGAGGAAAGGGAGAAGGACGAGGAACGCAGGAGGAGAAGAAGATAAAGAGGAAAGATGGAGAAAGGAGGAAGACGCAATGGGAAGGAGAAAATGAAGGAAGCGAACGAGCACTGCTGAAG